CATCCGAAAGACTCGTGGCATAGCTAAGTCGGAATGAGTCGGTTGGGAGAGGGGTAGACTGAACGGGTGAAGGTGTCGGGTGAAAGATCTCGCAGGGGCTAAACGACTATGGTAATCCGGAGGATCTGGATAGCCGAAGGGAGTCGAATAGCCGTGAACGCTGTAGCAGCGCTCCTGGACATCCTCGTGCGAACGCAGGAAGAACTGCGCTCAGCAACGAGTAGGGAATGGGTAATGGTTGGTACACTAGGGAGTCGATGGAGGCGGTATGTAACGCGTCACACTCCCGATGGCGTGATCGGAGTACCGCTTCCGAATTCTCCCGAGGCGAGACTTCAACATCGAATGTGAAATCCGCGGTGCCCCCACCAATGTGAAACCTCAGTGCGTGCGGGGACTTCGTGCGTGTGAAGTCTCGTAGTACCGTAGTCGAATGTCGTAGTGTAGAGTAGATGAATAGAAGTGATAGGAGAGAACGCAACTGTTGTGGTTGCGCTCGTCTCCTAGGGTTGCCTAGAAGTCCTAGGCAGACCCTCGTTAACCCAGAGGAGGGCTCTCATATCCTGTGGAGGAGGGAGCATTATGCAGGGAGCTCGCCCTTTGGTCTTACCAGCAGTGGACACAGGACACACTTCACGCGAGCTTGGTAGCAAGATGAATATGGTTTATGTCTAAGTGTGCTAATGCCAATACAAACAGATATAAGTCAAGTATTAGTAAGCGGGGCTGCGCGTATCCTCAACTCCGTATTACACCATGTGTCTCCACTTCGACAACTTCAAGTTCCCTCCAGTTCTTCGGCCTGCATATTATAATTGGACGCAAAAAAACTCTATCGACTACCCCTCATCAATCCCAATCTATCCCCACCATGACATGACAACATGCTAGTCCTCCCTCATCATCCTTTGCGATGCGGAATCGCTCACCTCAGGGTTTTCAATCAAAGACCCATCATCCACGTGACAACCCTTGTAAAAGCGATTTCATACCACTGTCACACACACCGGATGTGATGGGAAAAATATACATCCGTGTATGCCTATACCGAGGGCACTCCTCCAACTGTCGAATTTCAACCGCCCTCAAGCGCGAAGTGTTCAGCCTCTGTGCCAACGCTCGTGACGCAGAGCTGACTCACTAGGATGGCTGACCTGTGTTAGTTGGGCCAACGAAATCGGATGCAGGTTTTGCCGCTTCGACAGTGGAATAGGGACAGGTGTCGGTCAGTGTTGGTGCAGATCGGAGTGACGGCGAAAGAAGATTGAGTGGAGTGGTGGGAACTAGCAAGCGGATGTGTGGGGCTGCGTGGTGTATGAGCCAGTAACAAATAGGTGTGTGGAGAATGGAATCAGGTGAGATTCGTACTCACCAACTTCAATCGAAGCCCAATCTTCCAATCTGGTCGAAAATAACGATGCACTCATCCCTCACTCCCTCCCAGCGTGTTTTTCCATCACCCTGGACATTACCAACATGAACGTCCATTCCATCCTGCCTCCCTTTCTACCGCCCACCCGCCAAGTCCCAAAACAGTTGAAGAATAGTTTTTGCACAAGTTCAGGAAATTGCTCCTCCCCTCTAAGTTTCACGGACCCAGCCTAATACCGAAATTGGAGTGGGTTCAAAACAGTGATACATGGACTACAATGCCGGATTCAGAAGTCTGCGAGGCCCATGTTGCGTTTGCAATGCCCATGGTTCGGTGGTTTAAAAACATGGTTCAGGGATCTTGTCGATCCTTCTGCGATCGGTGTCAGAAGCCGAAGTGGTTGATCATGACGGTTACTTACTTAGCCCCCTCATTTCTGTGCTCCCACCTCTTCATTCACTGCAACACAGGCGATGTGCCCTTTCTTCAGTTCGTAGTGTCATAATTTTGTCCCCTACCCATTTTACCATTTCATCCCCTACCCGTCGCACCATTTTTTTTTTTCCGTCGTCATTCCGATGTTCCTTGTGAGTTTACATCGAGCCTGAATGGTGCTCCCTGGTGCAGTGTTCGCGTTCGTATCTACTTTATCCCAACTCCAACATAACGAACATGAACATACTGGTCACAGTATCGATATTAGCTCTTCTCTAATCTCAGCTCCAGATGTGTAGAGAGGTCCGGTCCGGCGGTCCGCAGAGTTTAAAGTTGGAGGCAAAAAAAGCGAACAAAACACGAACACAGGACCTCTCTACAGTCGCGGACAAACAAAGACAACAATTTTGGTGATTGTGAGATGGGGACCCTGCACAACCCTCAATATTACTTTTTATTGCAGAAACGTGGAGATTAGGACCCAACACTTTGATTTACATGAGCCGATTTTTCGAAATTGATGAAATGGGAAATTTTAGCCCAAAAATATTGGCTGGACCCTGAATGAACCCTTAAAATTATATTTGGCCAACCCAATCCCTCATGGGAAAAACTTTGGAGGGGTGTTTTTGGACGTAGTTTCGCATCCTGAGTTCGAATCTGAAGTCAGATTGTCAAAATATTCATTTCTTCCCAAGCTACTAAAATTGTTGTCTTTGTTTGTCCGCGACTGTACTACAGTCGCGGACAGCCAAAGTCAACCAAGTTGATATCTCGGGAATGACTAAATATTTTGACATTCTGACTTCAGATTCGAACTCAGGATGTGAAAATACATCCAAAAACACCTCTTTGAAGTTTTTCCCATGAGAAATTGGGTTGGCCAAAATTTTGGACTACTTTTGTCATCTGGTAAGGCTCTTCAGCAGCTCTCAAGGCCCCCTTGGCAGGTTCCCAATGCCGGAGGTGACTGAAAAATTTAGTGGCACGTGCCAAACATCGTAATTCTGATTGGAAATCAGTAATATACAATCTGCTAAAGGTGGGAAGAGGAGCGGGGGTCAAAAGGACAGGGTTCATTGAGGGTCCATGGGGGTGGGAAGACCCTGAATTGCCATTTTAGGTAGTTTAAAATCATTTTTTTCTACAACAACGGCTCATCAGAATTTTCCCAAAGTCCAGGATTAGATGCAGAACTAAAAAAGGAGTCGATTGCGCTATTTTTCATGATTTTAGGGGTCCATTTGAGGGCTGGCCAATATTTTGGGGGTAAAATTTCTCATTTCATTGATTTTGAAAAATCGGCTCGTGGAAATTAAAGCATTGAGTCCTAATCTTCACGTTTCTGCAATAAAAAGTACTATTGAAGGTTGTGCAGGGTCCTCACATCACGATCACAAAATTAGTTGACTTTGGCTGTCCGCGACTGTACATCTGGTGCAATTTGATCAGTAGGGGTAGGCTCGTGTGACAATGTCACAGTGGTCACCTTTGTTCACACCATTCCTCCTCCTACTCAGGCGACAAAATAATACCACCAACTTCAATGTTCTTTCTGAAAATGACTTTATTACACTACCTTGATTGGATCTGAATAGTTGTCTATTTTTTTTCTCTTGAAGAGGCATGCTACTTGGTCAAAATCAAATGCTGATCACACAAGCACTTATTTTACTAATAAATTTCTGAGACTGGTGTGGACCTGCCTAATGGTTTGGAAACCATGTAGACTATATGTTTTGGCCTTATAGAACTGAGGATGTGCAAGTTTCCTGCTTTGGACTGTAGGGATGTTGCACAAGCAGATAACATCTTTTGCCTTATCCAATGCACAAAACTGGGTACTGTGAAGTGCAAAATGCTGTCCCTTGTCATTGATTTGTACATAGGATTGAAGAGAATATTAGCTTTTATTTTCGCAAGCTACTTTTGAAAGACTGAGTTTGTTTCCTGCACCACTGACCTTTCAGAAGGCTTGTACTCTCCTTCAACTATGATTATTTTCTCACAATGAAGCTAAGGTGTAGAGCTCAGTTATTTTATACTTTATTGGTGATAAAGCATGCTATAAATCTCAGAAATAATTTTGGAGCTGACATGAAAGTTGTAGAGATGATTTGGGATGCAGGACTTCTTGAGGATGAGGTGTGTTACGAGCCTGTCACACAAGCCTACCCCTTCCTATCAAAATGCACCAGATGTTATAGGGCAGGATCTTGCGTGTGAATTTTCTCATTTTTTTGCCTCCGACTTTAAAGTCCACTGATGGGACAGCACTTGATTCTGCCCTATAACATCGGGAACGAGACTAGCTCTTCTCATCCTGATACCGATCTCCCTAGGGTATTTCTTCAAAACATCTTGGATCTGCCCTTTCCTCTGGATACCAGCTGAATGCACATCCGAGTCCTTCCTTGTTGAGCATTTTCTTTCTCTTAAAACCGAGCTCAAGCAAGGGGGTGGTGGAATGTGGATTTTAGATATACAGTTGCATTACAAATTAAGGTGCCCTCAGTCTACCCCCCCTACCCCCTACCCCCCAAAAAAGGAAACCTCCGAGTTCCTATGTCAAAAACATACTCAAGTAGGTATGTAGTATGTTACATTTTTGGATCCGTTACTACGTGCGACGACGCTTCACCCCCATAGTATCCATACAAGTCAATATGCCACTGCAGATTTGCTTGACTGCCTGTTCCAACAGGAATCTCTTTCTCACTAAAATATATATCTAAAATAGGGACTTACTTCTTCTTTGCCATACTTTTTGTGAACCTGAGCGGCATTACAAAAAAGTTCATTGACTTTTTTTTTTGGCTCTCAGTCAAAATTTTGGACAGTAAATACATAGATTAAGTGTTTGCCATGCATCTGAACTGAGGTCTTATCAGTGCCCCCC